TCAGCCTAAGCTGGGAGTTGGTTGTTAACTTACATATTTTCTTATTCTCTATTCCTTAGAGCGAGACAAATATCGGTACTTCAAGATCTCTTTCTAATACCTATTCAAGCGTGCATTTGTAACACACAGAAATATACAAGGTACTTTATTTTCTACAAATACCGCACTCATAGCATGTTACCGACAATTAGTGGTAATTTGCTCGACTCGTCCAAGCATCTGTTGTAATGACGCAGTATTTTACATTAGAAAGAATATCACGGAGCTTTGTTTTCATTTCTTCACACATATTTCCTAACAAAACATTGTAACGGTCCTGCTTCGGGGTGCCTGGGACGGTTCACCGGATACCAGCAGTTCGTTCCAACATTTAGTTTGATGTCAGGCGTGGTTGCTAGAAAAGAAGGTTCCACCTAGAGTAAGGACGCAGCGGGTTCGGTTAAGTTAGATTATATCTTAGTTGTTTATTTCATTTCTAGGGTTACAGAGTTATTTTACAAGGTTTCGGCAAGTCGTCGCCGGGCGGTCTGCGGGGCCAGGAGGGAGAGCTTCCGAGGGAGGGTAGTCGGGTGTCCGATGCTCCGTAGGGTGCCGAGGGGGGGGCCGTTTGGGAACAGGGCCTGACCGTCTGGGCGATCCGCTAGCTAAAGAAAGAAGAGACAAAAATGGAAACGAGAGAATGGGTGACGGCCCGAGGGCCGGTTACGCGAGCGAGTGTGAATGTGATGAGGAAAAGATTATGGAATCGGTATGATAAAAGAATGACTAGAAACCCAGTGGGTCTCGGGTGAGAGATGACACGAGGCCCTTTGGGTCCGACGTGTGAGTGATGCAAAGCCCCGGTAGGCTGTTGCTTAGATGATGCGAGGCCCTTGGGGTCCGTCGCGTAAGAACTGCAAAGTCCCTGTGGGATTCTTGCGAGAGATGCCGCGAGGCCCTTGAGGTCCGACGCGTAAGAGATGCAAAGTCCCTGTGGGACTCTTACGAGAGATGACGCGAGTCCCTGAAGGTACGACGCGTAAGAGACGCAAAATCCCTGTGGGACTCCTGCGAGAGATGACGCGAGGCCCTGAAGGTCCGACGCGTAAGAGACGCAAAATCCCTGTGGGACTCCTGCGAGAGATGACGCGAGGCCCTGAAGGTCCGACGCGTAAGAGTCGCAAAGCCGGGTAAGGCTGTTGCGACAGTGCCTGGCAGTGATCCCGTGGATCTGCTGCGGCAAGCATCGGCGAATGGCCGATGGCAGAGCTCCCTCGGTATGACCGAGGTCGAATTTATTAGATTTAGCCTGAGGCTAGTGCTGGTGAGGGTGCCCAACTGCGGGAGAGGGCTGATCTTACCTGGGTGAGATCCACCGCACAAGTGACTCTTCCCAGAAACTGGTCCTCCTTATATACCCGGTGGGTGCCGCCAGTGTGCCCGTTCCCGAAAATCCCTTTCTGTGGTGTGACCGTTCGGCCCGGTGGTGTGACCGATCGTGGTTCACTAAGGCGCGCCCGCGCATTCAAATTCAAATCTTATTTATTTAATAACTCAACAGCGACTATTTCAGTATCTTTTCTCTCCTTATAACTATGAACAAATTATCCTAAAAACTTCATTATTTGACTCTCCTTACAACTATAACAAATTATCCTCAGTACTTCATTATTTGACTCTCCTTACAACTATAACAAATTATCCTAAGTACTTCATTGTTTGGCTCCATGGCTATTTTTATGTCTTATACTCTTTTTATGCGCCCCGGGCGTCATACCACCCCCCCGTTTTTTTTGGGCGGCTGGCGTGTGGGGCCGGATCATGATGCGGCGGCCTCGCCCGAAGATGACCTGGAGGGTGACATCCCTATTGGGCACCAGGACGCTGCGGTGCTGTCCAAACCGCAACCCGGCCCAACGCTCCCGGATGTGGGCCTGGGTGGTTGGGAGCAGGTGGACGCCCGCCTGGATCTGCCATTCGACGCCGCTCATATCGTCCCCACGTCGCTGCCCTCCAGTGGTGTCCTGTCGACGGGCCTCCTCCGGCTGCCTTCGGTTCGCCTGCCGGACAGTGACTCTTCGGCCTCTGCCGAAGAGCACATTCCACGTTCGTGCCCCTTCCGGCACCAGCAGGCTCTGTTGTTTGCCCCTGGGCTTCCTTCTCCATCTGTCTAGAATTTGTTCCACCGTTGCTGGCCGGAGGACGACCCCTGCTGGGACCGTCCACCCCCAGTTATTTATTATTGTTTCTTCTTCGTGGAGCGAAGAAGAGGAGTGATAAGCGGTGGTTTCCCCCCCCGAACCTTCCGAGACGCAACACTGTAGTACGTCTCGGTCCGGGGAGTTGTCTCTTGTCACGTCGGTGTGATCGTCGGGGCCTGCCGCCCTTTCGACTCCTCCTGCCGGCGCCTCGTCGTCGGTCGTGCTTCGGCCCTGGTGTTCTTCTCTTGCCGGACTTCCCCCGGCCACCTTGCGTCGGACCCCTGGCCGTGTGGGTGCCGTCCGGATCCTTATCTCGGGTCCGGCGGCCCGTGCTGGTATTACTTTGGCCCTCTTGGCGGCCCGTTGCAGTTGGGCGCTATGCTCCCGGAACCGCTCTTTTGAGTGTTGGAATTTGTCCATGTTTCCTGAAATGATGAGAGCGGAAGTTTGGTTACTACGGTTATTGGGGTTCGATTCGCCCGGGTTAGTGTTACTGTGGTATTCTTTTAAATCCCCCACGTATGCCCGTTTTTTAATTGTGCCCCCCTGTTTCCTTAACTCTGCTATTACCGGTGACGGAAACCCCGTACCTCCCATGGCCCGTCGAATTTTGGCGCTAACTTTGCGTTAAACTTATCTATCGCACTAGATAGGAAGTGTGTTCTGCACCACACTAATTGCCCTATTTTGGGCTTCCATACCCTTTTCCGTAGGTCATAGTGTCGTTTCTGATTTTCCGCGGCGTCTTCCATATTCCTGTAAGCTTCCGACCTGGTATTCTTCAGTCGTTCCCATCTTTCGGGAACCGATTCTAATACCAGACCGGAGCCTTTCGTAACTTTGTCGAACAGTGCCCCGGGCAACCGCAGCTCTTTTCCATAGAGTAATTGAGCCGGGCTATGCCCCGTTGACTCCGAAGTGCTGCTGTTATACGCGAGCATCAACTCCGGTAGGTTTTCGTCCCATCTGGTTTGTTCCCCTCCTGTCAATTCCGCTATCATGGTTTTCACTGTTCAGTTCGTGCGCTCGGTCGGGTTTTGCTGCGGTGTGTACGGCGCGGTGAATTGTTGTTTTATTCCCCAGTGTTCCATAGCTGTCTTGGTCTTCCTGCCGGTGAATTGTACTCCGTTGTCAGATATCAGGATCTTAGGGGCTCCAATCCTTGCTATCACCTTTTCCCGGAATACCTTCAGGAACGTGTCCGCCGTTGCTTGCCGTACCGCCGTTAATTCTACCCACTTTGAAAATTTATCTACGATTACTACCAAAATAGTATTCCCGTGTCGTGTCCTTGGTAGTGGGCCCACAAAATCCACACATAAGGTTTCCCATGGAGCCTCGGCGATTTTTGTCAGCATCTGTCCTGCTGGGTGTTGTTTCGACGTCTTGTACTGCTGACAGGTTTCGCAAGTCTTCACAAAGGTTACGATGTCCTTCTTCATACCCGGCCAGAAATACTGCTTCGTGACCCTCCTGAGTGTTTTGAATATCCCTAGGTGGCCTGCCGCCTCCTGGCAGTGGTTCTCTCGTAATACCGCCTGTACCTCTTCTCCCGCGACGCACAGCTTCCAGGGGTTGAGGTCTCCCTTCTTGGAGCCCTGTTTGTACAATCTTCCGCCCTCGATCCTATATTCCTCGTCTCCCGGGTTCTCCTGGCATTCCTTGTATTTCTTTTCTAGCCAGCCCGGTCCTGTTCGTGCCATTTTTACCTCGACTGTTGGCGCGCGAGATAATGCGTCTGCTACGGCGTTCAGTTTTCCCTTGCGGTATCTTACTTCGAATTGAAACGGTTGCAAGCCTAATGCCCACCTTGCCACTCTGCCCGAAGGGCTTTCAATCGAATTCAGCCATCTGAGTGCTTGATGGTCGGTTATCACTACGAACCTGTACCCTTCCAAGTACATCTTGTATTTGTGGATACTCCAATATATAGCGAGACATTCTTTTTCGGTGGCACTGTAGTTCCGCTCCGCTTGGTTCAACCTTCTGCTCGCATATGCTATCACTCGTTCCCCTTCTGGGTTCTCCTGCGTCAGCACTGCCCCTATCCCGAAGTCGCTGGCGTCCGTTTGTAACACGAACTGCCTAGTGAAATCGGGACATGCTAACACTGGTGCCCGTGTTAAGCTGGTCTTTATTTGATCAAATGCTGCCTGATGTCGAGGTTGCCAGTCGAACTTTCTCCCTTTCTGTATTAGTTCTTGGAGTGGGTCTGCCTGTTCCGAGAACCCCGGTATGAATTTCCTGTACCATGACGCCATTCCGAAAAAGCTGTGGACTTCCTTGGTTGTGCCTGGCGTGGGTAGTTCCCTTATGGCTGCCACTTTATCCGGGTCTGTCTGTATTCCTTGATCGGTTACGATATGTCCCAGATACCTTAGCTCTTTTTGAAAGAAATGGCATTTTTCCGCGTTGATTTTTAGGTTCGCTTCTTGGAGCCGCCTAAACACCTCCTGTAGCTTCTCCAGGTGCTCCCGCTTATTCCTTCCAATTACCACGATGTCATCCAGATATGCGAATGCAAACGGCTCCATTTCTGGCCCCTATGATGGTATCCAGGGCTCTTTGGAACGTTGCCGGTGCCGTGGTGAGACCAAATGGCATCACCTTCCATTGGAACAGCCCTCGTCCTGGTACCGTAAATGCAGTGTACTGCTTACTATCCTCGTCCATTGGTATTTGCCAATACCCTGCCTTCAGGTCGATTGTGCTAATGAACTTGGCCTCCCGGAGTTGGTTTAATATGAAATCCATCCTTGGTACCGGGTATGCGTCTTTCTCCGTTTTCTCGTTTAGTAACCTGTAGTCCACACACATTCTCTATTCGTTGTTTTTCTTTCGTACCAAGACTACCGGCGCGCTGTATGAGCTTCGTGAGGGTTCTATCAGCCCCTGGTCCAATAGTTCGTTTACCTGTTCGTTTATAATGGCTTGCTGTTTTGGGTTGCGCGGGTAATAACGTTGTTTCACTGGTCTTTCGTCCTTCATGTATATTGTGTGTGTTGCGATCGTACTGCATCCCTTCATCCTTTCAAACACCATCATTTGTTCCTCCAGGAATGTCTGGATCTCCTCCTCGGATGGCTCCGTTTTTAGTCCTGCTTCCTCCCGCTGTTTCCGTTTTTGTTCCTCCTGAGGCTCTCTGATAGTTATTTCCTGATGGTCGCATCGTATTATCGTTCCTACTTTTGCCAAGAAGTCCATCCCCAGCAGCATTCCTCCTGTCACTTGGTCCAGGATCAAGAAACTTAGCTTGAATCGCTTGCTCCCGAACTGGACGAGCGTGGCGAAACTCCCCATTACCTTTTGTCTTGCTCCGTTTGCCAGGGTTATTTCCTCCCTTTCCTCGTTCCATCTACCCTGCTTCCTTAGGCTTCGATAACTTCCCTCGTCGATCACGCTTCTTGATGCCCCGGTGTCCACTATTCCCTTCGCCCTTTTCGTTCCGATCCTTACCTCTGCCGTTGCCTGGAATCCATCGTAGGTTATCCCTCCTCTTCCTGCCGGTCCTAGTGCTCGGTCCTGTACTGCCAGAGTCGCCTGCTCCCGCCTCCTGTTGACGTCCGGCCGGGCTCTACAACATTCGGTTGTCCTCCGCTCGTTTCTCCCGCACACCCAGCAGAATAACCTTGGAGGGTTGCCGCACGCCCTTGTGGCGTGTCCTGTTCCTCCACACCTCATGCAGATCTCCGGCCTTAGTCCGTGGCTCCTTGTCTCTGCCGGGTGATCCTGATTTTCCGCCGCCTCGATTTCCTCCACCTCCTCTGCTAGTGTCAGGAACTCTGTCAGTGATGCAAAACCTGATCTTCGTGCATAAAGTTTTATTTTGCTCCGACAGTTCTTGTATATCCTATCCAGTTTCTCTTTTTCTGAGTAACTGGTGAACCTCATCAGCTTCCTCAGCTCCATTGCATATGCCCGAGTGGGTTCCCCTTCTTTCTGCCGGAGTTGTCCGATTTTTAAATCCAGTTGCTCCTGGTACCTTGGGGTAGGGAAGTACTCTAGGAGTTCCCCTCTCAGTTCTTCCCATGTTCTTACCCGACTTGGCGTCGTATTCCACCAGTCTTCTGCGGCGCCTTCCAAGATAAAAGGCATCGTTTGTACCAATTCATCCTTGTCTATGCCATATCCTGTGGCCCATTCTTCCATCTTGCCTAGGAACTCCAGTGGGTTGGATGTGCCCTGGTATCGTATTCCCCAACTTCTTACTCTGTCCAGAGATTCCACTTTCCTCCTGTCTCCCATGCTCTGAGTCTCCTCTTTCGTGGCTGTCCTTTTGCTGTCCGGCTCGACCTGGGCCCCTCCACCCGGTATTTCCATCTTCTTGTACTTGCTTGATACCTCCATTAATCTTGTCCTGATCTCTTCTGTGTGCTCCGTGCTCTTCGTGTATGTTGACAGTCTTTGTCTTAGTTCCCTTGATCCTCCGCTTGGGTCCACGCCGAATTCACTCGCGTATTCTACCAGCTCTGCTTTTGTAGCCTGGTATACCCAGCTCGACATTACTCTCTTAGTGTCCTTTTTCCTGCAACCACTTCAACCTGTTCGGGCGCCATGTAACGGTCCTGCTTCGGGGTGCCTGGGACGGTTCACCGGATACCAGCAGTTCGTTCCAACATTTAGTTTGATGTCAGGCGTGGTTGCTAGAAAAGAAGGTTCCACCTAGAGTAAGGACGCAGCGGGTTCGGTTAAGTTAGGTTATATCTTAGTTGTTTATTTCATTTCTAGGGTTACAGAGTTATTTTACAAGGTTTCGGCAAGTCGTCGCCGGGCGTTCTGCGGGGCCAGGAGGGAGAGCTTCCGAAGGAGGGTAGTCGGGTGTCCGATGCTCCGTAGGGTGCCGAGGGGGGGGCCGTTTGGGAACAGGGCCTGACCGTCTGGGCGATCCGCTAGCTAAAGAAAGAAGAGACAAAATGGAAACGAGAGAATGGGTGACGGCCCGAGGGCCGGTTACGCGAGCGAGTGTGAATGTGATGAGGAAAAGATTATGGAATCGGTATGATAAAAGAATGACTAGAAACCCAGTGGGTCTCGGGTGAGAGATGACACGAGGCCCTTTGGGTCCGACGTGTGAGTGATGCAAAGCCCCGGTAGGGCTGTTGCTAGAGATGATGCGAGGCCCTTGGGGTCCGTCGCGTAAGAACTGCAAAGTCCCTGTGGGATTCTTGCGAGAGATGCCGCGAGGCCCTTGAGGTCCGACGCGTAAGAGATGCAAAGTCCCTGTGGGACTCTTACGAGAGATGACGCGAGGCCCTGAAGGTACGACGCGTAAGAGACGCAAAATCCCTGTGGGACTCCTGCGAGAGATGACGCGAGGCCCTGAAGGTCCGACGCGTAAGAGACGCAAAATCCCTGTGGGACTCCTGCGAGAGATGACGCGAGGCCCTGAAGGTCCGACGCGTAAGAGTCGCAAAGCCGGGTAAGGCTGTTGCGACAGTGCCTGGCAGTGATCCCGTGGATCTGCTGCGGCAAGCATCGGCGAATGGCCGATGGCAGTGCTCCCTCGGTATGACCGAGGTCGAATTTATTAGATTTAGCCTGAGGCTAAATCTGACCCAAAAAAAGTGACTAGTGCTGGTGAGGGTGCCCAACTGCGGGAGAGGGCTGATCTTACCTGGGTGAGATCCACCGCACAAGTGACTCTTCCCAGAAACTGGTCCTCCTTATATACCCGGTGGGTGCCGCCAGTGTGCCCGTTCCCGAAAATCGCTTTCTGTGGTGTGACCGTTCGGCCCGGTGGTGTGACCGATCGTGGTTCACTAAGGCGCGCCCGCGCATTCAAATTCAAATCTTATTTATTTAATAACTCAACAGCGACTATTTCAGTATCTTTTCTCTCCTTATAACTATGAACAAATTATCCTAAAAACTTCATTATTTGACTCTCCTTACAACTATAACAAATTATCCTCAGTACTTCATTATTTGACTCTCCTTACAACTATAACAAATTATCCTAAGTACTTCATTGTTTGGCTCCATGGCTATTTTTATGTCTTATACTCTTTTTATGCGCCCCGGGCGTCATAACATTAAACATTGTGACTTTTCCAGGCAAAGCAATATTAGCGCATCGCATTAGAGCTGGAAAAACATCGATATATAGCATATTCGACATTTTCGAGGGATTTTAAACAAAAATTCGATAGTATCTAACTAAAAAAATCAAAACTGAGGTTTTAGCATGTATAATTCAGAACATAATATACAGACCGTTGCACAGTGGGTCCAATAGCTCTGCTAGCAGAATTGCCTTTAGTAAATTAATAAATATTTTAATGAAACATTGTATTTACAGTTTTTAATTCATTTTACCTATATTCTCCAAATGTCAATGTCCTACGTTAGGTATTATTCATAGCTCCCATACAAATGTTAAAAAAACCATATTCAACAATATAAATGTTCACATTTTTTTAAAAATTTTTTAAGTGTTTTATTTTTAAATTTACATTTTAACTAATGAGTTTGTTTTCTATATATTATTCGCTACTATTATTCGGAATCTGAAGATTCCGAATCATTATTTAAATATGTGAAATTTATTAGAAGACCAGCAACAACTTTATCAAATTTAATAGATTTAACCGAATTTTTTGACACTTTAGACAATGATGTTATTAGTGGATCAGAAGACACGAGTAATGTGTGCATAACATCTTCCATTGTATTAGATATATTATTCTTTCGAGAATGATTCTCCCGTATGTTCCGGAAATCCTTATTCCTGGCTTCCAGGGCTTCTTCAGACATCATGCCAATAGGAAGACCCACATGCTTTATGATGTCTGGGCACAAATCACCAAAATCCTTTTTAGGCCTACCAATATCTGACGTTGACGTGAAATTATATAAAATGAGTGGCATATCAGCCATTTCTGATATTTTTTTTCTCAAAAAACTTAGTGTTGTAATGGCAATTCTTTCATTTCACTGCAAGCCTGCTTACAAAATTAGCTATTTTTTTATTAATTTCTTTAATATGTTCTTCAAAATTGTGCCAAATACATATTCATTTAGCACCAACAATTTCCTTGACAGTAATCTGTCAAGGACAGTTAATCTTCAATGCGAGTGCCTTTTCGTAAAAGGAAAAAAAACACAAGTTTAATACAGGCAATACGTGCTGCCTTTGGCCTTTGACACATATGTACATATGTATATGTCGGTTCAGGGTTTATATCGCCGTCCGTTTTGTCGTTGTTTATGTTCAGATTCATAATAGTACCTTTTCAAGATATAAATATCTTCCAATACGAGATCCTTTGAATGTTGCTCTAGTGACTTATTTTCTACTTCCATCCTATTTACTCTTACTTACTAAGGGACCACGTACTTTTTCTCTCTCTCTCAGACATTCAAGTTCAGTGTTGCCAGGTGATAAGCGCCCGTTTAAGCTAGATTTATGAAAAAAAATAAACTAGAATAAGGTAAAATTAAAAAAATATATGCTAAAAAACAAGCTACACCCAATTAAGAGAAAACATGAAACTTTATTATGATTAATGATGGGTGGCAATAGTCATTGGGGCCTATTTTTATGATTAGGCCTTTAAATTTCCATCCCGACAATTTCTGAAAGAAAAAACATCAATTGAAATGTTATTTCTGATGAATTTATAACAGTTTTAATATTTTTTTATGTGCCAACAATCATTTTTTTTTCGCGACTCCCGTTGCTTAACGTGCAACGGCGCTGCCGTCTATCGTACGGCTCGGAACACGGGGATAGTACCGAGTGGAAAATGTTATAAACTACAACATTTAATATGTGCTAAGTGGTTTAGTAAGACAATTTTTACGCTAGTAGGAGAAGTATTGGATTTAATGTGGTAGAGGGTATTGTAACTCGAACATAATACCTTAAATGGTTCATGAAGGGCAAAGTTCGAGCTGCAATGTCCCAAGGATATGGGAATATAGTTTCTAGTGGGTCTAGCGGGCACATTGATGTTTAAGCGACCTATTAGGGCTTGACTATCAATGTCCCCACTAATAAGATTGTTAATAAAAACAACGCCGAGCATTGTCCTACGGGTAGGTGAGTTTATTAGTAATAGTCTGCTTTTATAGGAGGGAAGATGTAAGTTTGCATCCCAATTTTGGCCACGAAGAGCAAATAAGAGAAAGCTTTTTTGGATTGATTCTATACAGTCTTGGTGGACCGCGTACTGGGGGTTCCAGACGCAAGATCCATACTCTAAGATCGGACGAACGAGAGAGACAAATATTGTTTTGGTTACGTAATGGTCATTAAATTCTTTCGACCATCTTTTATAAAACCTAACACACCTCTGGCTTTGCTAACCATGGAACATATGTGGTCGGAAAATGTAAGTTTGGCATCCAACAGGACACCTAAGTCGTCTACTAGCTTAATTCTATCTAGGGTTACACCACAACGTGTATAAGTGGATATTAACGGCTTAGAGCGACTGACGGTCGTTACTTTACACTTAGAGCCGTTAAGATTTAGTAAGTTTGCAGAGCACTAAAATTGAAAGTTGTTAAGGTCAGATTGTAGTTTTCTCTGGTAGCACGCATCTTATATTGAATACAAAGTTTCACATCATCTGCGTACATTAAAATAAAAGAATTTGTTAAAGCGATTGGAAGATCATTTATGAATAATGTGAAAAATAGCGGAACTAAATGGCTTCCCTGAGGGACACCGGATGAAGCATAAACCGGACCAGACAAGACACCTTTAAATAAAACACGTTGCGTTCTACCAGTCAGATAACTTTCAACCCACCTAAGAAGATCGCATGGGAATCCGTCCAGTTAAGTCCAGTTTATGAACTAAAAGTGAGTGATTTATAGAGTCAAATGCTTTACCAAAGTCAGTGTAGATGACATCTGTCTGAAGACTTTTTCGGAACCCAGTGATGACATAAGAGGTAAATTCAAGCAAGTTTGTAGTTGTAGACCGTCGAGTCATAAAACCATGTTGATCAGTAATATCTCCACTGATCTACACTGGTGTTGCAAATGGGGCACAATAATTTTCTCAAAGAGTTTAGGAATTGCTGATAATTTAGAGATACCTCTATAATTACCAGCATTCGAAGTTTTCCCTTTCTTGTGTAAAGAAATGATGAAAGATTCCTTCCAAATAGGGGGAAACGTAGTCGTTTCAAGCGAGAGGTTAAACAGTTTGAGAAGAAAATTGCCAAGCACACAGCCGGGAACGCCGTCGGGGCCCGGAGAGTAGGTCGGCTTTATACTCTGAAGATCCTTAAGAGTACCACTCTTAGATAGAAAAGGTCGCGTGACGAGGTTCGACTGCGGAACACCGTAGACATAAGGCTGCATAGCGGTTGTCGAAGGTGAATATGTGGTTTGAAAGAACTTGGCGAACATATCGGCTACTGCCTGATCAGTTCTCGCCGTTAGTGCTGAAGGAAACGTTTTTGGTCTACGCTTAGTCTTAACGAAATTATAAAACTTTCGGATCCTGTGTAAATTGGGTCCTACAACGAGCTAAATAATATTTATAACAC